TAATTGTCTCTTGAGATGTCTTCTAGGACATTTTATTGACAGGTCTTTCTATAATGTTTATAACATCAGGTAGCTAGAAAATTGCTTTAGGAGGCCATTGGTAAAGTAGTCATACAAGCAAATGTTCAAATAAACTTGGTATCTGTTTTTTTCCCCCTCTGCAGTTGTAAAGCTGTGTGAAGGCTCATTACTTTACACGCAGCCCATCATACAATTTTTAACCTCATAGCAGAGATCGAAGATAAACACTAACACAGGAAGTGTTAGCTACTCTCAGTTTTGCCTCAAAGAGTTTTTATAGAGCTCTTCTGGAAAACAGTGAGGTGTAGCAATAAGCGATCAAAAGAAAGTTTTGCATGTCTTCCACTACATAAAAAGGCAACATTGTGCCCACTACAATGTACTGTCAGAGATGCAAATTAGACCACTGCAGTAAAACGTTATCTACTGTGGTATAATAAAACGTAAAATCTACCTGTGTAGTTATGTGAAGGCATTGAGCAAGAGTTCTACGACTCCTTTTGCAAACTATTATCTATTGCAATAGGAGTCATACGTTGGCATTTTAAACTTCAAAAACAAAAAACAGACATTAGATTCACTCTGTATTTAATTTGACTTATGATAAGAAGAGACAACAGTTAAGCAGGAAGGACTTACTGTTTGTACCATCACTATCAATTTATATAAAGAGCAGAGAATTTTGCTGTAAAATTCAATATCGTTAGGTTATCACCCCAGTAGAAACATAAAAGCAAACAGGGTAAGTCTGCAGTACCACCACAACCTATTTTATCAAAAGTTAACGGTTTGGAAGAAACTTGCATCACTTCAAGTCACAAAGAGTTAATTTAAACATTCAATAAAGTAAGCACACCAATAGAGAGCTAATGCACACCAAAATTGCAATAAACCCCCCAAAACCTAGTTGACTTGTACTGCTGTCACTGTGCTATAATGCCTCAATTATGCCAATATACAGAAAAACTATCACTCCAACTTTAAAAGCTACGATTGACAGGAGGCAAAAAGAGAAAAAAAAAAAATAATAATAATAATAATAATAGGGGTGGAAAAAAAAGTTCTGCAAGTAGTGAGATTCTGAAAGTAGTGACTTAAGACTACAATCAGGACAGGTCTTAAGCCAAAGGATAAAAATCAACTTGAGATTATACATAAAAGCGAATATCCCCTCTGTTGTACAGCTTTGGGTTCTAGATGTTAGACTGCCCTAGGTTCACTTTGGAAGGGAGTGGTCCAGCCTCCTCCTCTGATCCGTTGGAGGTGATGATCAGCAGGGAGGATGCTGGATATGGAATCAGTTTCTGTTCTTTAATGTATTCACTGTCTCCATAGATGCTTAATTTCTGAAAGAAAAAAAAAAAAAAGGGAAAAGCTTTTTTTAAACATTGTTTTGACGATTGATTTTTTTTTTCTGTCAACACAAACCTCATTATTCAAGGAATTCTTTAAAAAACATTTTTGCCAGCCATGATCTCTAAAGCTTACAGCTTCCATCTTGTTTGGTCTATATATAAACCAGAAGTGTCAAAATGACTGTTCAGGAAATAACTTCAGCCCAAATGCACACACCAAGCCCACCCGCTATTTGTAAGGTGCCATTTGTCTGGTATTTTTGCTGGTATTCTGTTCATTCAGTCACTTTTTTGCCCGTGTTAGTCTAGTAAGGTGGCTATTACATTTCTTGAGACCAGTCTTTGGTGATACAGAGTGAAGCATTTTGAGTATGCGACCAATGCAGACATGCTTGCATGCACTTCTCTAAAACACACAATGATGGTACGCACAGGCAGAATACTGACTGGCTGAAACGTCTGCTTGAAGGGAGCAACAGTGGCATTTGGCACAAAATGGAAGAAGTGTACATACACTATATGAAAAAGTATGCATAAGAAACTGAATTAAGCAGAAGTGGATATCATATTTTCTTGTTTTTAAACTGTTTCTCTTCACTGTAAAGAAGCCATTTGTCTGTTATGATTTCTGTGTTCTCTGCAGCAGGGTCTGTGCTTAAGGACCAACCACTGCACAAACATGAAGAGCCCACCAGCTGTCGTTGGAGGCAAAATATTTTGATGCTGCCCCCTGGTGACAGTACACTGCTGTAACATGAGGATAAAGGTCCACGTAGCTCCTTGAAGATTCCACAAAGGACTGGCACACATATATAGCATAAAGAAGAGTTGGAAACAAAGAAATAGTCCTTTGGTATCATTCTGTGCTGTCACATTATAATGGGATTTATTACATATGAATGACGTGTAGATTTGTGCAATTACTCTGCAGAGGGCTCTGGAAAGGGCATAATTTGAGAATCCTTGATTTAGAAATACTGGTTGGGTTATTTTGGACAAGACTGGCATTTCCAGCCTTTGTGCCAAGATATGCTAGTCACCTCGTAGCTGTAGCTTCATAATTACTATGCAGATGGGAAAGTGGAACCAAGTTTCTTATTTAACTTTGCAACAGCACATTAAGCAATTATCCATTTAAAAATATTTTATACGGAGTATAAAAACAGAACTACAGCAACTGAATTCACACATAGCAGATACGCCCAGATTAAGCTTGTGTGCTAAACAAACTGTTGTAAACCACTTAAACAAACAAGAATAGATATCATACCTCAGCAGGTACATACTGATCCACAGCAGTTGCCACAGTGGCACAGCAGATCCAGATCAGGACAAAAACAGACAGGACCAGAGTTGTGGTAAGGATCCACCCCGGTAGCCAAGGATTCCTGAGGAGTAAAGGATAAGTATCAAGGTTATGTAGCTGCACAAAGGCAAGATCCTCAATACCATTAATATCCTGTTCAAGTTAAGTAACAGCACCTCTTGGACAATGTAGACAGAAATGTGCTAACCAACCTTGAGAAAGAGCTGAAAAGATTGTATTCGTCATTATAGGTGTGGTCCCCAGT